CCTGTGAGTGTTGTTCCCTTCCCTGTGCCCAAGTGTTCTCATTGTTCATCACCCGCCTGTGAGTGAAAACATGGTGCTTGGTTTTCTGTTCTGCCAGTTTGCTGAGAATGATGGTTTCTAGGTTCATCCATGTCTGTACAAAGGAAATGAACTCATTGTTTTTTATGGCTGCATAGTATTCCATGGTGTATATGTGCCACTTTTTTTTTTTTTGGTCCAGTCTATCATCGATGGGCATTTGGTTTGTTTTCTAGGTCCTTGAGTCGTAAACAGCACCATAATCAACATACGTGTGCATGTGTCTTTATGATAATCCTTTGGATATATACCCAGTAATGGGATTGCTGGGTCAAATGGAATTTCTATTTCTAGGTCCTTGAGGAATCGCCACACTGTCTTCCACAATGGTTGAACTAATTTATACTCCCACCGACAGTGTAAAAGTGTTCCTTTTCTCCACATCCTCTCCAGCATCTGTTGTCTCCAAATTTTTTAATGATCGCCGTTCTAACTAGTGTGAGATGGTATCTCAGTGTGGTTTTGATTTGCATTTCTCTAATGACCAATAATGATGAGCATTTTTTCATATGTTTCTTGGCCACATATTTGTCTTCTTTTGAAAAGTATTCATATCCTTTGCCCACTTTTGAATGGGTTGGTTTGTTTTTTTCTTGTAAATCTGCTTTAGTTCTCTGTAGATTCTGGATATTAGCCTTTTGTCAGATGGGTATACTGGGAAAATTTTTTTCCCATTCGGTTGGTTGCCAGTTCACTCTAATGATTGTTTTGCTGTGCAGAAGCTCTGGAGTTTAATTAGGTCCCATTTGTCTATTTTGGCTTTTGTTGCCGTTGCTTTTGGTGTTTTAGTCATGAAGTCCTTGCCTATGCCTATGTCCTGAATGGTTTTGCAAAGGTTTTATTCTAGTGTTTTTATGGTGTTAGGTCTTATGTTTAAGTCTTTAATCCATATGGACTTAATTTTAGTGTAAGGTGTCAGGAAGGGGTCCAGTTTCTGCTTTCTACACACTGCTAGCCAGTTTTCCCAACTCCGTTTATTAAACAGGGAATCCTTTCCCCATTGCTTGTTTTTGTGTAGTTTGTCAAAGATCAGATAGTTGTAGAAGTGTGGTGTTGCTTCTGAGGCCTCTGTTCTGTTGCATTGGTCTATATCTCTGTTTTGGTGCCAGTACCATGCTGTTTTGATTACTGTAGGCTTGTAGTATAGTTTGAAGTTAGGTAGCGTGATGCCTCCAGCTTTGTTCTTTTTGCTTAGGATAATCTTGGCTATGTGGGCTCTCTTTTGGTTCCATATGAAGTTTAAGGTGGTTTTTTCCAGTTCTGTGAAGAAGGTCAATAGTAGCTTGATGGAGATAGCACTGAACCTATAAATTACTTTGGGCAGTGTGGCCATTTTCACAGCATTGAGTCTTCCTAACCATGAGCATGGAATGGTTTTCCATCTGTTTGTGTCCTCTCTTATTTCCTTGATCAGTGGTTTGTAGTACTCCTTGAAAAGCTCTTTTACCTCCTTTGTTAGGTGTATTCCTAGGTATTTTATTCTCTTTGTAGCAATTGTAAATGGGAGTTTGCACATGACTTGGCTCTCTGTTTGTCTGTTATTGGTGTTTAAGAATGCTTATGATTTCTGCACATTGATTTTGTATCCTGAGATTGCCAAGTTGCTTATCAGTTTCAGGAGATTTGGGACTGAGACAATAGGGTCTTCTAAATATACAATCACGTCATCTGCAAATAGGGTCAATTTGACTTCCTCCTTTCCTAATTGAATACCCTTTATTTCTTTTTCTTGCCTAATTGCTCTGGCTAGAACTTCCAGTACTATATTGAATAGGAGTGGTGAGAGAGGGCATCTTGTCTCGTGCCAGATTTCAAAGGGAATGCTTCCAGTTTTTGCCCATTCAATATGATATCGGCTGTAGGTTTGTCGCATATAGCTTTTATTATTTTGAGATACGTCCCATCAATACCTAGTTTATTGAGAGTTTTTAGCATAAAGCGCTGTTGAATTTTGTCAAAGGCCTTCTTTGCATCTATTGAGGTAATCATGTGGTTTTTGTCTTTGATCCCGTTTATGTGGTGAATTACATTTGTGGATTTGTGTATGTTGAACCAGCCTTGCATCCTCGGGATGAAGCCTGCTTGATCGTGATGGATAAGCTTGTCGATGTGCTGTTGCAATCAGTTTTCCAGTATTTTACTGAAGATTTTTGCATCAGTGTTCATCATGGATATTGGCCTGTAGTTTTATTTTTTAGTTGTGTCTCTGCCAGATTTTGGTATCAGGATGATGTTGGTCTCATGGAAAGAGTTAGGGAGGATTCCCTCTTTTTGTATAGAGTGTAGCTATTTCTACCAGCTGATTCCAGTAGATCCTATTTTGGGAGGAAGGTTGATAGGCCTTCCTTGGGCCCCGATCCAAACGGGGGTCTATCCAGTATGAACTATGCCTTCATTTCTAAACAATGCTTGTTCCCCACCACAGCTGGGAGCACAACAGTAGATCTGTGCAGCTCTCAAAGGGTAAGCATTTTACCGGGAGAGCCACCGCAATAAATGTCTGCAGGAGTTTGTGGCCCTTTACCCCCTGGAACTGTGAGCTTGCTTCTAGGAAGATCTAGGCTTGCTGCTCAAAGAGTCAGAGTTCATACAGGACTTACTGATGCGGACTTTATAGGGGAAATTCAAATTGTAGTGTCTTCTTCCTTCCCTGGAGTGCTGAGCCCAGGGGACGCATAGCACAGCTTTTAGTTATACCATATGAAAAAATAGGAGGAGGCAAAACTGGAAGAACAGACAAGACAGAGCAGCGTATTGAGTAAATCAAATTACTGGTAAGCGTCCTATATGTGAGATTACAATTCAAGGAAATAAATTTAAAGGATTGGTCGATACTGGAGGAGATGTTTCTATTATTTCTTTCCAACATTGGCCACTTCCTTGGCCCATGGAAAATGTTCAATTCAATGTGCTTGGAGTAGGGCAGGCCTCTCAAGTGTATCAAAGTAGTCACATTTTCACCTGCAAGGGGCCTGAGGGACAGCTTGGACCTATGCATTCTATTGTAATGCAAATCCTTGTTAACTTGTGGGGAAGAGAGTTGTTACAGCAATGGGGAGCTCAGGGTTTAATACCTGAACAATCATATAGCCGCACCACCCCTCCCCCGCCTCCCCCACTCCCCCCCGCCCCCACTACCACCAGGCCACCAAATGAGGCAGGATAAGGGCTGTGTGCCTGGGATGGGATTGGAAGAAAATTTGCAAAGCCCAAAGGAAATTTTAGAAATTGAAGGACAAAAATCTTGGCAGGACTTAAGATATTCTTTTTGATGGCAGCCATTGCCAAGCCACCAGAGCCTATTGCCTTGAAACGGATGACAAACAAACCTATATGGATAGAGCAGGGGCCACTGACAAAAGAAAAACTGGAGGCTCTAGAGAATTTAGTTGCTGAACAACACCTGAATAAACAAATTCAAGGAAGAAACTGGAAGGCAATTGATCTGGTGGTGAGATCTCCTCACAAAGAATCAGGAAAGAGGTAATATAATAACCTGGGGAGAGGATTTGCTTATATTTCTGCAGGTCCAAATAAAAAATGGGCGTGGGTACCATCCAGACATTTAAAGCTACACTATGAGGCAGATATCAAAAAAGGGACTTGTAGAGGACCCCCCAGTCGCAGAGATGGTGACACTGACATCGAGGTGGAGTGCTGTTTCCATGAGGAGAACACATACCAACCCTCACCACCGTCTTGGGGTCAACGTAAGAAACTTTTACAAATAGCGGAGGAAAACCTGAAGAAAGCAGGACCGCCCATTGTGGTAGCCATGATGACAGTTATCACGGTTAAAGTGGGTATTTCTGGAGTTGGGACAGAAGTAAAAGGAAGTTTCACATATTGGGCATATATTTTTTCCTTCCTTTATTGTCTATAATAATTTAAGAAAGAACAACATTTCTGCCATCAAGACAGAAATGCAGATAAAATAAGGAATCGCCCCCTAAGTTAAAAACATTAATCTGGAGAGATTGTGTTGTGATAGAATGAGGTACTGCACAACAATTCCTATGGAATTATTATTGATTATTGGTCCCCTAAGGGGATACGTAGCAATGACGGCGCCAGTCAGTCCACTTGTAGTAAGATGGAATTCAGATGGCAGATAAAGAACTACAATTATTTGGAATTTATACATACTGAGATCAATAATTCTGTTGTCTGGAGAGATGGGGGATTAATAAAACCACAACCAAAAATAGTATGGCCAATGATAAGAGGTGGATGAGAAGAACTTTGGAAAAATACTTGTGGCCCTAAAACCAATAAGTCTGGGAAGGAAAATATAACAGAGAATAAGGCCCTAAATCTTATTCATTAGAAATTTATGAGAAATCTCTTTAGATTCAGAGCTGTGTTAAACCCCCATATTTTGTGGTGCTGAGAGAATTATGGACTAACTTTAGTAACTCTAAAAAGTATAATGAGACCGAACATAATCGGGAGAGAATAAAACAGCACCCGGAAAGGCCTTTAGACAGTAAGCAAGGAAGAGGGACCCAGAGGGCCTTCGATGCCTCTTTCCGGGAGGAAGTAGTTACAGAAGAATGACCTCCACCCTATTTCCGAAAGATTTCTGGGTCCCAGCTCCTTAAGGGAAAAATATAAGTGTGGGCAGTTAGTGAGGTTTCGAGGTGCTTGGGGAGGCTGCAGATGGATTGGCCGCCCTAAAATCTGGACGAAAACGCTTGGAGGATCTGTAATTGCTATTATGATTATGTTATTAATCTGTCTTGTTTCTCTTTGTGTAGTTTGCAAGTACAGATCCAAAAGCCTCCAAGAAATGGTTCACCAAGATAGAGCTGTACTTGTTTACCTAGCTTTGTGAAACGAGGGTGAGATGTTGAGAACATTGTTTACCCCGCCCCGTGGTTCTCTTGTGGAAGGTACTTTTAGTTTGTAATCAGTGGTACGTGGGTAACAGCTTCCTACCTAGTATATTCCTGAGTTATGTGTATATGTAGAACACCTGTGTATTAATGAGAATCACCTGTCAAAGAGCAAATAAATACGTGGATGACTCTCTGCTCAGGGCCTTCCATCTGGAGAGCTGTCAGCCCCCAGGATAGATCCACTCTGTTGTGCTATCTGTGTCTGCCTCTCAAATACCTTCAGCATCGTCTAGGTGGGGGGTCTCCCGACCGAGCTGGTACTCGGTAGACCACAAAGCATATGCTCACTTGAAAGTCATTTCCTCAGTGGGATGATCTGTGCAGCAAACCATCATGGCACACATTTACTTATGTAACAAACCTGCACATCCTGCACATGTACCCCTGAACTTAAAAGCTGGAAATTAAAAGAAAGTCATTTCCTCTTTTTAATGAAACTGATTTCTTAGAAGGTTGTGGTCCTGAGTCAAATGTCACTGGACAATATGATTGTAACAATACTACAGGCCTTGGTGGACTGTTTCACTAGGACTCTCCCAGCTGGGGGTGGTGGCTCAAGCCTGTAACCCCAGCACTTTGAGAGTTGGAGGCAGGAGGATCACCTGAAGTCAGGAGTTCGATGCCAGTCTAGCCAACATGTTGAAACCCCGTCTCTAATAAAAATGCAAAAATTAGCTGGGCATGGTGGTGGCCACCTGTAATCCCAGCTACTTGGGAGACTGAGACAGGAGAATCACTTGAATCCCAGAGCCGGGATTGCACCACTGCACTCCAGCCTGAGTGACAGAGACTCCATCTCACACCCCATATAAGCATTCTTTCTGTACATAATGGTACATGCTTTGTTATTATATGGAACAATTCTCTAAAGCATTTAAAGATCATTGATTGCACATTAGTATTTGTAACAGTACAAGTACTTTCAAGCTGGATATTGCTGTTTATATTTTCTTTCCTGGGGTGATTGATGTCTAGAAAAATCAGGGAGTCTCTAACTGGATGCTGAAATTAATCACTGGTCTCTGGTTAAGTCTAGTGAGCTTCTGTGTGCTTAAAGAGGCTCATTTATTAGTAAATTTCAGAAAGTGATAAATATAGATACAACTCTTAAGACTGCAGGATGGGATTAATAGCCTTCTCTTTCTGCTTCTGATGTTGTAGAGGAAGCAAGCTGGGAATTCTTGTCCTTCCACCATGTGCTGGTACCAGACACATAGCATCACCCATTGTGTCATTTGGATGCTCACAATAAGCTCATTTAGCTCCATTTTACAGGTAGGGAAACAGAACCTCAAAGATGTTCAGGGAAAGCCCAAAATCATTTGTCCAGTAAAAAAGAGAAATCCTCAAGCCTGTAATCCCAGCGCTTTGGGAGGCCGAGGCGGGTGGATCACGAGGTCAAGAGATCGAGACCATCCTGGTCAACATGGTGAAACCCCGTCTCTACTAAAAATACAAAACATTAGCTGGGCATGGTGGCGCGTGCCTGTAATCCCAGCTACTCAGGAGGCTGAGGCAGGAGAATTGCCTGAACCCAGGAGGGGGAGGTTGCGGTGAGCCGAGATTGCGCCATTGCACTGCAGCCTGGGTAACAAGAGTGAAACTCTGTCTCAAAAAAAAAAAAAAAAAGAGAAATCCAGGGTTCAAGCCAGGTCAAGCAAAGCCCATTTTCTCTTACCCCCTCTTTGCTACCTTTCTTCCTGTTATTTTTTTAAAAATACTCACATCTGTCAAAAAATTTTAGAGATTGAGCATGGGGAAAACACAAATAGCTAAGATTCACAGATAACTGCCAATTCTTATTTTAGCATTTCTCCCAAATCTTTAATTAGAAAATCAGGACTGTTATCTAGTCAGATTGGCTGGTGTGACGTTCCCTGCTACCTCCTGGCCTGTGTTGCAAGAGGTGAAACTGCCAGAAGGTGGCTGGGAGGACGGACCAGGCATGCATTTCGGTATAATCATGATTTGCTGTTGTATATGTGCTACTGTTTGAGCAGTAAATTTCAGATTTCATAAGTTTAAAGTGTAAATAGGAAATGTATACGATCAGTAAGAGGTAAAGTTGTACGTTTTTGTCACGGAAATTCAGGATGAACATTTTTATTGTCATAACAGACTAAGATGTTTTATCTCCTTCCCTGCAGCATACCTGCATTCTGACACAAATGTGCTGGGAAAATGCTAAACAGTTTTGTTCCCTTTTACACGGAAATAGATATGGAGCTGGTGGAAAACGTTAGTGAGCAACTGCTGTCACCAAAAAGAGAGAAGGAATCACAACCCAATCTTTTATTGTCAGGTATTTTTTTAAATCTGGGTCTGTAGTAAACAGAAGCAGCAGCTCTTATTGTTAAAAGGTATTATTCCAAGATAACCTTAGGATGTTACTTTCTTTATAAGTGTCATCAAATGAGTTGCCTGCACAGTCACTACATGATAACAGAATTGAATATGATAAAGAGCACATAACAGACTTTTAAGAAATTACATCATCTGACATTCGTATGCGCCATTTTTAAAAACCTGCTTTTAGAAACTGTTAGGAAACTCAGGGAATGGCACGTATAAGATTCATATAGACTGGGTCCAGTGGCTCATGCCTGTAATCTTAGCACTTTGGGAGGCCAAGGTGGGCTGATCACTTGAGGTCAGAAGTTCAAGACCAGCCTGGCCAACACGGTGAAACCTCATCTCTACTAAAAATACAAAAACTAACTGGATGTTGTGGTGGGTGCCTGTAATCCCAGCTACTCAGGAGGCCGAGGCAGAAGAATCACCTTGAGCCCAGGAGGTGGAGGTTGCAGAGAGCCGCAATCACTCCACTGCACTCCAGCCTGGGCAACAATGCGAAACTCTGTCTCAAAAAAAAAAAAAAATCATATAAATGGGTCCTTGCTACCCTGCTCACCCCTCCTCTAATGACACTGCCTTTATGTGAGATGAAGTGGGTTCAGCAATAGAAGAACAGAGGTTATAATGTCAGGGAAGTGACTCTGGAATGGTGAAGTGGGAAATCATGGACTTTGGAGTCAACGACCTTAGGTTAAAATTATTGGTTTTACTGCTTATTACTGTATGACCTTAAACAAGTTACTTAACCTCTCTTAACCTGAGTTTCTGAATCTGTAAAACAATGGCAGGAAGACATGGTTCGTGACATTATTGAAATGTTACATGAGATGATAATGCAACTAACCCTAAGTGAAGCCACAACCCATCTAGTTCAGTCCCAGAGAAACACACACTTCTCAGGCAACCAATCAGGGGGAAGCAATTCCAGTTTTATTCATTTCTCAGCACTGAAGAGAATCCAATTCATAACCAACCTCAGTATTTCTCATTGCTGCTGCTTTTGTCACCGAGTTCACTCATGTCAGCAGCCTCTGGTGTTCCTTATCTACCATATTACCAAAGAACTTTCTCCACCCTTCCTTCCTTTTTCTGCCACTCCCATCCCACTCCCCACCTATCCATTCCATCTCTTTCTTGTCTTTATTACAAAGGTTATTTTACCTCTTTGGGGAAGTCCTTTCTCTTCAATTCTAGTCTCTCAGAGTCAAATATTTTTCTATGGTCAATCTGCATGACAACTACACAGAAACCGTTCTGAAAGAGAAAGACCTATGGTTGGTTTGGGAGGATAAAGTTTGGCAGAGAAGGAAGTTTTAATTAAACTGGAAATTATGGGGCTTTCCTTGTTGATGTAGGAAGGTGATGTGGTAGAAAATGTGCCAACATTTTATGTTGATCATTTTACCTCCTGATATATGTAAAGAAAATAGCACCAGATTGGGTACAAAGTAGAGTCTCAACATGTGTGAGTCTGTCTTCCACTCAGCATCTGTTCCAGACATCTACTGCTGCGTAACAAACTATGCCAAAACTAAGGGTCTCAAAATGATGATGATTATCTCTAGTGGTTTCATGCTTGACTGGGCCCAGCCAACCAGTTCTCACTTGGGGTCTCTCATGTGACTGTAGGAAGATGGCATCTGAGGCTAGAGTCATCTAAAAGTTCTGCTGCAATATGGTGCCTCTGCTGGGATAGATGGAAGAGCTGGCAATTGACTACATAAAACACACACTCCTCTGTCTGTCTGTCTGTCTGTCTGTCTGTCTGTCTGTCTCTTTATCCCCCCACCCCATCCATGTGGTCTTTCTATGTGGCTGGTTTAGTCTTCCTCCTGGTATGGCAGTCTCAGACTTCTTCCCCAGAGTGAGCTTTTCAAGAGACCCAGATAGAAACTGCCAGGCTCATTATGAAGTAGCCTCAGAAGCTACACAGCCATCACTTTTGCAAGTTAAAAGCAAGCCATAGGGCCAGCCCAGATTCAATGGGAGGAGACTGCAGCAGTGAAAACCGAGGTACGCAGTTGATTGGGGGACCACCTTGGGATATCACCTATCACATAGTCAACTCGACTCACCCCAAAACATGTTGTCTTTATTTTGGAAACAGAAATGTTTGGTTATATTTTATAGTTAATTTTGCTGAAGAATCGAGAGCCTGGGTCAAGTGGGCAATGTCCTTTGGTAAGCCAACAAAGTTCAGAACGAAAACATTCATTCCCTATCTTAGAAAAGCAGTGTAGCACTAACATCAGAATGCTTGAGTTTGACTTTTTTTTTTTTTTTTTTTTTGAGAAAGAGTCTCACACTTTCGCCAGGCTGGAGTGCAATGGCATGATCTCAGCTCACTGCAACCTCCACCTCCCAGGTTGAAGCAATTCTCCTGCCTCAGCCTCCCGAGTAGCTGGGACTAATGGCACCCCCCCACCAGCACCATGCCTGGCTCATTTTTATATTTTTAATAGAGATAGGGTTTCACCATGTTGGTGAGGATGGTCTCGATCTCTTGACCTCGTGATCCACCCACCTTGGCCTCCCAAAGTGCTGGGATTACAGGCATGTGCCACCGTGCCTGGCCGAGTTTGACTCTTGACCTCACCCTACAGTCTCTTTGAACATGAGCTGGTTTTGTCATCTCTCTGGTTCCTCAGCAGCAAAATAAGACTGACATTATGCATAGGGCTGCTAAAGACAAAATGAGATGATTTCCATAATAATGCAGATACTGCCTCGTACCTAGTACGTGCTCAATACATGTTATACTTTTGAATGCAGATGCCTGGTCTACTTATCTAGAGAATTTTGCCTGTA